GCACTTGTTATGATGATGAAAGTGTTATGTTTGTATTTCAATATAATGTATTGTTATGGCTGTCACTTGTATATAATCTGTAAATGTGGGTTGTGTTGATCTGATCCTCTGGTGGGATGATGGGGGGAACAACTGGCAGGCAGAGGCCTCCTTATATAGACAAATGTGAGGGATTTTAGCCCCAGGGTACAGGCTTTTGAGGCATTTTAGCTGGCCTGAAGATCCAATGAGGGAATTTAGCTAGTCTAATACATGCAGGTGAGGGAAATTGGCTGGTGAGAGCACTGCCTTGAGGGAATTTGGCTAGCCTACAAGGTCCTCCTACAAAGGAATGCATGTGCACCTACAAAGGAATTCAATATGCAATATGTGCCAATAAAGGAATTCAATACAACACAAAGGAATTCAATATTCAATATGCATACAGTATTCAAAACAAGCCATACTGAGAGTAAAGAATCCAAAAGATATCCCGTGATAGGTTGAAATCCGTGTAACTTCTAAACTATGAGAGATATGGGGTCAGTTGTAGTGGGTGACTAGGGGTAATTTTACCTGAGAAATCCATTTCTAATGTTATCTTTACCATATCTTGAATGTATAAAGAGATAATAAGAAATTTTTATATTTTCTGCGTAGAAACACAGTATTATTTACCACACCGCCTTCACCTCTAAAAACCAACACAAAACCCAATCATCCTTCTTCACCTCTAAAAACCAACACAAAACCCCATCATCCTTCTTCACCTCATCTTCTTACTCAACAAATTCTCTCCAACCCCTACTATCTCTTCATTCTATCTTCTTCTTCTTGACCATCAAAAAACTGATCATTTCTTGTTTCTTATTCTTACTTTGAATCAGGAAAAAATTCCACCGCTACCAAAAATAAAAATAAAGCTAAACAAGCTCCAACACCAACACCTCCCCCACCATCATCCATCAATTCCAGCAACGATTCAATAAGCAATGGCAAAGGAGACCCGGGGATGAAGGATAGAGTTCAAGACCAGGATTATACTTTGATGAAGGACCCTCCTGAACCACTCCTCCCGGTGATTGATCCTGCAATCAACGACTTGGATTTAACATTCAGGGAAGTGGACCCAATTCCAACTTCACCAGCCCCAAACAATCCTGTTGCGGTACCCGACCCAATGGCGATGTATGAGGTTGCTAGGAAGCTTCGTGATAAGGCTAAGCTTGATGACAAGCATTTTCAAGATGCTATTGATATTTTAAATGTAAGTTTTGTTTCTTATTTGCTTTAACTCTGAACTCATGTATTCTTTTTGTGAAACAAAGACCCCAGGTGGTCCAATGATCTTCCTAGTCTTCAGAGAAATGCAACGCTACCAGGAAGAGTCTCAAGGTCCCAGCAAGTCTACCACCATCTCAGCCAACCAAAACCCAGGTGATCATAGCTCATCCGAAGCACCGGCACCAAATTTTCAATACAGCAATGCTATCAAGGTAAGTCATCATTACTTCTCCCTTTCCTTCCATGCTCAATTTTGTTTTGATTTGATTCAGGATCGTATTCGAGACCTTACAAAGGAAGCTTTCATGCAAGCAGATGTTCAATGCTACATGCGCAAGTCCTTCAAGCCTGGTACGGGAGATCGGTCACTGCTAACAATAACAATGGTAAGTTCTTCTTCAAACTGTTCCTCCTATTCAATTCAAAGACATCATACTGAAGCATTTAAACAGCAAGGCTTGCAGAAACTGCCCGCTGATGTCATCAAGAAGGAGCTTCCCCCAGGTTTTGGCAGCGGTGACGGCCCGGCCATGAAGAACGTTGTAGCGATGGTGCGCAAAATCCAGCAACATGTCCGGCTCTCCGTACGCGAAAAGCTCCTCGATAAAATCATTGACCCTGAAACTAAGGATTTCAACAAAGACGGTGTCGTACCCAAACTCCACGAGCTCACCGAGACACTTTATCGCTTTCTGCACCCTGTCAAAACATCACTCAGCAACACTCAAGTTATCCAAAACATGGTGGCCCTTTTCCTTTCTCGAGTTGGCCACCTTCGCCTCCAGACCCTTGACCATCTGTTACACCCACACATCAAAAAGTCAACACAATGGAGCCTCATCGATCAGAAACTCCACGAATTGAATGCTCACACCGCGGATTATCGTGCTGCGTAAGTTTTCTCTCTTTTTTCCACACCTCTGCAATTTCTATCACAATGTACTAATTTTGATTCCACTACCTATGTCTTCATCTTGAATAGATGGTCAAAAGCAATCCTTGCCAAGGATAATGAGATCTTTGGTAAGAATAAAACAATCCTCGAGATCATTGACGAAGACATCGTGGGGATGCCAAATGAAGATGATGTACAATTTCAACTTGATGTGCTCCTTCGAAAGCGATCTGGCAGGTCACCAATTGCTAGTGGCTCCTCTCATTAAAATACCTTTTTTTATTGGTTTCATCATTGTTTCTTTTGTTTTTGGTTTTCATTGTTTGTCACTATTTTTCTCTCTTTATTCATTATTCCTTACAGATTATTATTATCATTATTATTATCATTATTATTACAATTAAAAAATCACCCTGCATGTAATTAAATTACCAGCAAAATATATCTTTTAAAAAAGTAGCAGAAATAAATGGCATAATTTTAATTTCAAGGAAAGGAAAAAAAAAAAAAAAAAAAAAAAAAAAAAAAAAAAACGGGGGGGAGGGGGGAAAGGGGAAAAAAAAATTCTGGCTTCAAAAGTGTCCATTGGACACAAGCTTGGATGTCAGATGGACACAAGCTTGGATGTCAGATGGACAGCCTGGACCAGCCACCTTGAAATACCTTTGGGAGCAAAACTGTCCACTGGATGCTTGAAAACTATCCAGTGGACAGCTTGAAAACCATCCAATGGACAGTTTTCCAGAAAACGTCCACAAACTGTCAGGCAGAGTAGTGTCCAATGGACACTCTCTGCCCTGCAAGTTCTGGACACCTCAGTTGATGTCCAGAAGAGTGTCCATGGGACATCAGAATGGTCCCGTGGTGTATGTATACATATGCGTTTAGGACTGCTGCCGTCCCATAGGACCCAGGCATGGGTCCTATGGGACAGCGGCGGAGAATCCAGCAAAAAGGAAAAAAAAAGCTGGGAGCTGGGGTTCCTCCCAGCCTAAAGACTACTACTCATAGCAGCTCATCGGGAGGAAACCCTCCCAATGAGCTGGGTGCGTTTATCAACGCCCACAATCAAAATCAGAAGCTTTCTTCACCTTAAAAACAAGCCAAAAGCCACAAATTGTGGCTGGAGCTTGGCCATTTTCGAGAGATAACAATTTTATTGCATGAGTGGCAAGAAATATAAGAATTGAATGATGAATTGAAGGTTGGATACTTTGTTTGAATATGTTGTGTGAGATTTATCAAACTGATCATGATGATATTGGTATTTAGTACTTTTTCTTACTGACAAAGAAGATGGAGGGAAACAGTCTGACTGGTAGTGCTGTAATACCTAAGTATTTATAAATGAAAAAATTCTCAAGAAGAAACTGGATTTGTCAAAATTTAACAATACTTTACATCCAACCTTTGTCAAGATGTTTGATAAAACCAATACTTACTTGGTAGAAGCACTTCCTTGTGAAAGTTAAACCTTGGTGATTTGAACTATTCTAAACCCATCTTTTTGACTTGCTATCTTTGAGAAGCATTTTCCAAAAGAAGCATTGGAAGCAAAGAAAAGGCTTGTGGAATTGTTTGAATAAAGAAAGAACCAAATGGCAGAAAAGATTCAACAAGACAAGGAGTGTGAAATGCAGACAAATGACAATGATATCTACTCATTTTTCAGTGTTCCAAGCAACAATTCAGGCCAGGATGTAGTAGAAATTTGCTTGGGAGGAGTGGATTTTATCATCCACAGCAATAAAAAGGATTACACATTTTCTGCATTGAAATGGTGGAAGGTATGTTTCTTATTTGATTCTTCAATTGAATGTTTGTTTTTTGTTGATAGATTGAATTTGCAGGAACCCGAGTTCAAGTATTTAATACTCTCAACTTTAGCAAAAGACTACTTGGGCTATGTAGCATCTTCTTCATCTGTTGAAAAAACTTTCTCTGCAGCAGCAGCAGATGTCTGTACTAGTAACCATGGAAAGCTGTGGCCAAGAAATATCAAAAGATCTGCAAGTAGCCGCATGTGGTTGTTGCATGATGATCTTTCATTGGGAGAAGATTTTGAGGGGGAATCCAGGCATTGCAATAAATTCAAATTATTTTGTGAAGAGAAAGAATCTCAATGCTTGAAAGGCACACAGAAATAGAGATTGAATTTCACCATCCCATTCTTTTTTGCTTTCATGTCAACCATTATCCTAGTTACAGTCAAGTTATCCTAGTTAAAATCAAGTCATCAAAAATGAAAAATGGTAATGTAATTTGAAATCAAGCAAGTTACACAGGAACATAACTAAAAGCGCAAATAGTTTTTTTTGGGAAATGATATTGTAAAGGAAATCAAGTTATCAGTAACTGAGAGGTAACATAAATGTAAAACTTACATTACACACAGATTTATCCATTTGGTCTGACCATTGCCACAATGGGTGATATTTTGGATCCCTCATACAATGCAATGCAATTGGAGGACTGAGGCTTGGGATCAAGCACACTGCTAGACATATTGACATTATTTGATTGGTCCACTGAATGGGGGATGATCTTTGAATGCAACACCTAGTATCAGAAGATAAATAATGAATGCATGTGAGTGGTATTTGACATCTGCAGAATATCCTGCCTGGGGTTCAGTTGGATGGTAATGTTTGCTTCAATTGTCAAAAATCAAAAATCAAATCAGTAAGAAAAACAAATCAAAATATATCCATGAAATAAAATAAATAGGGGCTTGGTTAAACGACTCCCAAAAAGTGGAGAGCCAACTCCCAAGCCCTGGTTTCCCTGAAAAATGGGAGTCAAACCCACAAAACCTTTGAATGGTTTGGGGGTCAATTCCCTAAAAAATAATAAAAATCCCTGGTCGGTTTGGGAGACGGCCTCCCAAACCAACCAGGGTTTGGGGGTCAATGACCCAAAAGACCCATGCCAGCGGCCGGGAGGATTCCTCCTGGCCGCTGAGGTACACTCTCAACGGCCGGGAGTTGACCCCTTGGCCGTGAGAGTGTACACCTCGATGGCCAAAAGGAATCCTCTTGGCCATCATACACTCTCAACGGCCGGGAGTTGACCCCTTGGCCGTGAGAGTGTACACCTCAATGGCCAAGAGAAATCTGTTTGGCCATCATACACTCTCAACAGCCAAGACAATTCCTCTTGGCCGTTGAGGGTACACACTCTCAATGGCCAATGGAAACCGTCTTGGCCATTGAGGTGTACACACCTCAACGGCTGAGGGTACACTCAACGGCTGTTGAAGTGTACATTCAGAGAAACTTGGCTGCTGAGTGCACACCTCAACGGCCAAGAGCTGCCTCCCAGCCGTGGAGAGTGTACACCTCGAAGGCCAAGGTGGTTTATGTCAGCCTCTGGGTAACTAACCTGAGTATTTAATAGTAAAAAGGTTGTTACTATGAGTTGACTGAAGTTTTTGAGCGTGGTGAGTGTTAGGTAGTGGGTGATTAATACCAGTCCTGTAAAGAGGAGGTTTCACTCTATCAGTATGGTCTTTACTGAGAGGCTTGCTATCAACAGCGCATCCAGATCAATACAAGGTATTAATAGGCATCCAGGGTACTAAGACTCACCTGGGATTGATTTGGTTATTCCCAAAAGGGAATGGGCTAACAATACTTATTAAGCTTTAACAAAATTAGTTGAAGATTAACAGGTATTGTTGATGGGAATATTCAGCAAGGCTATGAATACTGTGGATAAGTTGAGTAAGAGTACTGAAGCTTAAGAACAATAAAGTTAGACAAGATTTATGTTGGTTACATGTACTGTATCAATATAAATGTTAACTGGTTTAACTGGTGTCTGAATATTCTGGGGATTAATCAGTGAAAGAGGCACGGATTATAAGTTCCAGAATATTGAAGGAGGGAAAGAATGAGCGCTCAGAATCAAGGGAGCTTTGGCCAGGAGAATGAGCACATCAATTGAGTGACTGATCATTATTTGTCATGATCTGTAAGTGACATCATAATTGTGTACTAGTTGATCAATCTACTAGTTGCTCTTGATGCGTGCACTTGACAGATCCTCTAATAATGTAGTCATAATTGTGATCAGTGCATGTATTGAATGTATTAATTCTATTGACACTTAATACTTACTATTTAATACATGTGCATATTTATTTGTAATAATATTTGACCGTGAAAATACTGTAGCAGAGGGATAACTTGTGGTACAGGTATTTCACGGACAAGGGAGTGAAAGGTAAGTGATAATTACTTATGTAGAACACAGGTATGTATCTAATAGATAAGTAATTAACAGATAAGATAACTGTAAGATAAATAAGATAAGTTAATAATAAAGATAAGATAACAAGAGGTAAAGGTAATCAACATTATGGATAAGTACTTATGTACATAAGTACAGGTGTTGCAGTTACTTGGTACATGAAAGGTACTGTGACATGTACTCTGTGGCTGACAGTTTACCTCAACCGGTGAGAGTGTATATGCTAAACGGCCAAGAGGATTCCTCAGGCGGTTTCCATTGGCCGTTGAGAGTGTATACCCTTGATGGCCAAGAGGATTTATCTTGGCCATCAAGGTGTACACTCTTGCATCCAAGTGGTCAACTCCCAGCCGCTGCCATGGGTATTTTGGGTAATCAACCCCCAAACCCTGGTCAGTTTGGGAGGCTGACTCCCAAACCAACCGGGTTTTTTTTTATTTTTTTTATTATTTTTTTAGGGAGTTGACTCCCAAACCAGTCAAAGGTTTTGGGGGGTATGACTCCCATTTTTTGGGGAATCCGAGGCTTGGGAGTCCACTCTCCACTTTTTGGGAGTCGTTTAAACAAGCCCCATTAAATAACATGTTTGAGATTGATTTGGCCCCCTTCACATCTTCAAGTTTTCCCTGAAATGTGATAGTGGTTTAGAATTGTTGTCAGGCTGTCTGGGAGTCCAATTATCATCAAGGATAACATACTGGTTGAACAAGGAAACTCATTTGTGAAGGATTCAACCTCATCAGCTCACAATCAATCAACATTAACTTCCTAAGACTGAATGAATCTTTTCACCCTTTGGTTTATATTCCCAAACCCAATTGGGTGATTGTTTTTCTCAATGAACAAATTGGTTTGCTCAAAAACATCAAACCATTTGGCTTTGGTTTTGAAATATGAAACAGTGGAGCACTTCCCATTTTGATTTAGAGAGCTTTTTAGACCTCCCTAAGGCCTAAGTTAACAGCACAATCACCAAAGCCACTAGCTCACATGAGAGCCATGGCAAGAAGGCTTCTA